GTTGTGCCTGAAAATTTTATGAAATGTACGCGGAAAAGGAGGAAAACATTTGCTCTGTATAGGCTAGTGAAAATAAATTTGTGCGTAAAGCGGCAGAAATAACGTTGAAACCTGTTGCGCATTTTGGGGCAGACGATTTGGTGATGATATAATGAACTCAATCTTTTCCTTTGAATTTAACCCGAGCTGAAATATCCAACGTAGTGGCTTAGGAGTCGGTGTTTCCCTTGCTTCAACTCTTACTTTGAAACCAAAGAACCATTTTTATTTTCAAATTTATCAAGATGTATTCAAGAAAACGAATGGATGCGGATGTGCATGCGCGCCAACTGTAACTTCAACTAAGTAATGTTTACCAGCTGTTCATGTAGTTACACGATCAAATGTCCAGGGAAACTAGCTATCCCGCACATCACGCTCGGGAAAGCCTGTAAGACTCTCGAATTGTCCTTTTCGTCTATTTGTAATTCTCGACTTACATCCAAATCTCGCTTCATTCTTGTGTACTAAACCAAACAATTGCGCGAGACTTACGAAATGAATAAAAAAGTACTTAATTCATCTTGCAGTAAATGGCTTGAACCCGGGGGTAACATGTGAAGCTGTAGTCTGATCGTCGGGGTGAGTGTAGTCCAGAGAAGGACTGTTGTGGGTCTGTCTGTTTACCGACAGATGGAAACAGACCAATTACGACCGACTTACGTCACTTGAGTCTTACAGCCAATAACATCACGGCAAAACCAACCGATCATTTCACACGAACTGGAATAAGAACATTCTACTGACAACAATCATTCACTTGACTCTGATGATGACTTCCGCACAGGTTGTCGAAACGTTAGTCACTACCACCGACAACAGTCCTTCCCAGGACTACACTCACCCGGACGATCAGACGACACCTTCACATTCATTCATCTTGATGTTTCCGATCAAATAAATCAACCTCTGACTGCGTTAGTCAAAACAAAAACTTTCTTGTGGGTGCAAAGCAAGGTCAGCAGACGGACTAGGCACATCCTTTTGGAAGTTAGAAAAGACAGTCATAATTCGAAAACTCATCATGACAGCCTAAACCTAAATAACTTCAGAATTCGAATTCATTCAGTAACTACATTCCTATTATAAACTGGAAAGACCAAATAATACTGAGCTGACTAACTAACTGACTAACCGTGAATTATTCACTAACTAAGTACTTCATAACAGTATCCTAGGACCTTACCAGAGCATGAATTTGAAAACCGTCACTTTCTGTGGACTTGAAGCCTCGTGCAGTGTGAACTGACAACTCGTACGAGTAGGTGCATTTGGAGTGTTGGTAAAATGACAGTCGCTTTTCTTGAATTCCGTCCAATTCTGTGGTATTTTCGGGAAAAGCAACAGTGGAAACTATCACTAACAGTAAAGTCCAGCAGTGCCAATCCATGACGACTGCTTCCTTATGAACTGTTATTAAAGATTTGGCGGCTAGATTCACCTTTTATGTTATCGATATTCTGTTATGACCAAACTTAAAGCATCCAGAATTGAATATCGACTTACTGTCTGCTGTTACGATGTCACGAGGTCAATTTTTTTTTAGGATTGTGTCGCAGTAAAGCACTTCTTCCTTAGAAACAAACATTTAATGTTATCCTTCTCAATGCTATCCTTTTCAAAGCTATCTAAGTATCATGAAAACTCTTAAATTTACATCGCCAGGTGTGGTTCCATCGATTTCATAGAAACTGGAACGTTGTTATCCAAGAAAAAAACCTTTTCGCGGTTTGGATTTAACCATGAAATAAATAATGAAACTTGCATGGTAATCGATCATAATCTGAAGGAAATGGCATCGATTTTCAAACATTTGCTGTTACGATGTCATAGGTTACGCTGTTACAAGGGTGCATCCTGTTGGAAATGACTGACAACATGCCTTTTTAATTTTTCTCGCCAAAGCTAAGTAGGCCGGGAAAACTTCTCTTCATAAAACAAAATGAGATATTCTCTCTCTCTCTCCCTCTCTAACTTCTAAATAATCAAATGTAAATGAAAAATTGCCAATCCAGGATTACTACTTCCTTTTGAGTTCTTATTAACCTAAAGCAGCTCCCTCCTCAAAACTAATACGATCTGGAACTGAAATTTGAGGAACTTTCTACCACCACGATGTCATTAGGTCCTATCCGTTATTTTTTTTATTATTATTATCATTTTTGGCGGCATGCCTTGTGGTTTGGCTTCATGACAGTAAAATATAGCAAGCTAAGACATAGAAACTGCTTCCTTGGGATCTGTTTTCAGCTGCTAATGCGATGTCACGGGTCACAGTTTTCGGCTCTAACATGAAATAAGCAGCGATGAATCTACAAATTGTCTCAGAATTTGCGCCGGATCAGCGCGTTCGTAAGAAAGTTCGCCTGCTCGGTCTTGCATTTATCCCTTGAAGGGAAGAAGGGTATTTTTTCGTGAAAAATGGTAAAATTAACGACATTGATTGTCTGGCTCTGTATCGCAATGCTTTTTATTGAATCTTGTCATACATGGAGAAGGCGACGTCGACGTCGACGTCGATGACGATGCCCTCCACCACCACCACCACCATGCCACAGGCGCGATTGCAGTGTTAGCGGTTGGTCTAACTGGGGAAGTTGTTCTTATCCTTGTGGAACTGGTGGTATACAGTTAAGAACGCGCTACATAACCAGAGTTAAAAATCAATGCGGACAGTGCCCCTATCATTTTACCGAAAGAAAGAGGTGCAATATAGGGCTCTGTGCAAATTACGGCCAACCGCATAGTTCGGGCTGTTACTGCAGATCAGGATATACTGGAACGTGCTGCAGGACTGGTAAGTTCCTGCGCTCTAAGTGCTAAATTTAATTTAGTCGGCTTGTATTTTTCTTCTGTAAACTAACTGTGAAAGGTAAACTTTGCTTACCATAAGTTACAAAATGAGCTTAAGTCTGACGGGTGACGAATCTATGTCTGAGAAAAAGTGCTTGCCTGCCTGAAATCGTTTGTTGCGACCTTTACCATACCCCGACGGCGGCAATGGGAACGAGACAAAACAAAGAAGATGGAGCGGGGAACTTATTCCGTGTCGCGCCTCAGCGAATTGACTGTCACAATTAAATGCGGAAGTGTCCCATAACTCGCCATTCTTTAGCAATTAGCTAATCTCGTCGTATAATGTTATTCCTATCGACAAAAGCAAGCAGAAGGGCAGATATTTTGGTCGCGATCTAGAAATTGAGTTTTGCTAACGGAATTTTTCTACACAATAGAAATTCAACTAGCACATCTGTATGACTTTTTTCAGCTTTTTAACTCAAAACTTCTCAAAAACAGTGACGGAGATCCTTGATAGGCTTTGAAGTAATGAGTTTGAGTTAGCCCTTTTTACACCTTAACATCAGCATTCATATTCTCCATACGGTTCTCTCTACAATTCCTACACTATTGACAAGAAAAATGGCTTTAACAAAAGATTCAAAAGCTTCTTTGTTTTGTGATGATTTCTGCATTTTTCTCGTAACCTTAATGTTTTATGTAGTGGTGAGACAGAGCTGAATAATGAAATGCTTACGACAGTGGGTATGCGGTCAACAACGCGGGCTCATGTGTTCTAAGTCTAAATTTAGCGAAATTAGCGGAAAATAGTAACGGCTGACTTTTAAAACCGAGGAACTCTGTTTTCGTAGAAGGCATTTTCCTATTCCAGAGGTTTTAAGGAGAAAATTAATTTTTAAAAATTTTTAGGGTGTGTACCAAGTTTTTGGAGGTTGTTCTGTAAAAGAAAAGAGGCAAGGAAAACGACGCCTGGAAGCAACAGAATAGGAAATCAACCATGTGAACGACTCAAAATCCGTGTTTCCGCGGCAAAACCTAGCGCATGCGTATACGTTATTCAGCTCTTTCTAGTGATGATACTGTAACGAGGCAACAGATGTCATCATTGATTCCACAGAAAAGACTAGACGTACACGGCCGCCACCTGCGCTCCAGCAATAACTTGACTCTTTTTAAATGCAGGACAAAACGATTTCAAATAAGTTTCTTTCCCGCAATGACATCAAAGCTTAATGAATTATCGCAATAGACTTATATCACCTTTGTAATAATTTGTTAATAGAATCTTGTGAGCCGGTAACCCAGTCCCCCGGCAAAATTTTTTTATTTATATAGTCTCATCTAATTTGTAAATATTTTTTGTAATTTCTTGTAAATATGAAGTATTTCATTTTAGTGCCGAATTCATATCTAATAAACCATTACCATTACCATTACTCTGCGCGTTTAAAGGGTGGAAGGAAGACAGAAACACCGCCTTCAACTTGAGTCCTAAATAAATAAGTCTGAACGGCAACGTTCCTTTCCACGCTGGTTGAAAATTTAGGACACAAGTACTGATGAGGATTGTTCTCTAGCTTGCACTGAAAACTTGCTGTTTGATAACATAACGTTATGGTTGTTTGATTTGCCATGCACTCATACCTCTGGATCGCAGTAAAATTCTGCTTCTTTTAGTTTTGACGGTGTCATTTTTTAAGCGACATCACCTTTGAATGATTTCACATCTACTTCGTATTTTTTCAGAAAATTTATTCGGTTTCTTGTCACGATGACGAAATCTCTACATGTTGTACCTAAAAAACCAACAACTGCATGATTAGGTATTGATTGACGGATTGATTTCTTACAGCCATCTTTGTGAAGCTTGAGGAAGACCGAGAATTAGATCTGCTTTTATGTCTCTAACCTTGTACTTACTGAGCAGTCCCTAATTCCAGACGATTTTGAGTTAGTTGTTATCACTGACGCTCTTACTAATAGTTTCTTCGGGACAAACGAAGAGGCCATGAGTAGAATCGAAAAAGAATCCATTCACTTTATCAACACCGATTTTACAAATTAAATTCTTCAGCACGTTTCTTTTTTTTTTTTTTATTCTTAAATGAGTGACTCATCTGAAACAACAAAGAAATTAATGTTAAATTTTTTTCTCACTTCAGATGTTAACGAGTGTAACTCAAATCCATGTCAACATATTTGCCGTAACACTTATGGCAGCTTTACTTGCCATTGTCATCCATGCTATACCAAACTTGGCCGCCGATGTGATCTGAGGCAGTGTCAAATAAATGGTCATCAGTGCTATTCATACGGTACTATTAATCCGTCCAATTCTTGTCAGGTAATATTCTCTCAAAGCTCATCGTCAATAACATATCAAGGTATATGTAAATTACGTATAGATAGGATACCTACTCTGTCATGCTTTAAGGCAAATTTTCTTACTTGGGCCAGATTGCCAAATTTTGATTTGTTCAGTACCAGAGAGCGAGAGGATCTCAAACACAGGTCTTACCTCTTATCGTGCGTAGAGTACCAACGGGCTGCAAGTTAGAAACTCGTCATAATTCGGAATTCAAATACACCTTTCAGTAACGGACTACAGAGCATCTTGTCAACTCAGTGAGCTGTAGCCTAGGCCAAAGGCATTCACACTGAGTACAAAACTGCTGAATTTAAAGCTATAAAAACCACGCCTATTGTATACCAGGGGAACTCATGGAAATTGCTGGCTTTACGAAAAAGTTGATTTGTTTGAATTTGACAATGACCTTCGCATTCTCTTTGTCGATTCAGAAATGCCATATTTCCAGGAAAAAATCATGGACCAATGATGATTCTTTGCCATGCAATGATGGTGTTCCCTGTACTAGAAACGACCACTGCTCTAATGGAAGATGCATTGGTACTCCATTCTCATGCTTGTCATGTGAAGAGTGTTACAACGATGCATGCCGTATTAAGCCTGGACATTGTATTATCATCGTGGCAGGAGTACGCACCTGTTTTGCTCATGGCGAACGGAGGCCAGGATATCCATGCCAGGTAATTGTAATATCAACCACGCATAACGTATATGAATGAAGCCCAAACAGCTATCATAGCAGACACTGGTTTTGAATCAAACTTATATGGAGTACAATCATTTTCCTTTTTTGCAGGTATGAGAAATCACCTCATCTCACATAAGCATGGTTTGATAGCCAGATCAATGTCATAAGTGTGCGCAAGATACAACATTTTGCGCTTTCTTTTTTGTTTGTTGGACCGAAAAGGTTTTGATTTGAAAAATAGTGGATTCACGTGTATGTTTTCCTAGATGCGTTGAGTTAAAATTTTTTTTGTGAAAAAGACTATTAAACATAGCACTTAGGATTAAATTATGTTTATAAAAATAACTAAACGTATTTGTTTTTTTGTTTTTTTTTCAGCAATGCGACAGCAATAACATAAATAAATGGACTATCAACAACAACCTGCAATGTAGTGACCGCAACATGAGGACCAAGGACGACCACTGTGTGACTGGAATATGTGTGGGTACATTCTACAATTGTCCCTCATGTGAAGCACACGATGGCAGCGGCTGTCCCATTAAACCTGGTTATTGTGTCATACAGCACCGTGGCCAAAAGACTTGCTTTGCTCGGAATCAGTATAAACCTGGAAATCCATGTCAGGTATGAAGTGATGCTAAACAGTATCCTCCAATTGGGGCGAAACATTTTGGGAAATTTGTCCCTGGACTAGTAATCTACTCCGCGAGGCAAACATTTTTTCCAACAGCGAAAACAACTC